AAGACAGAGATTCGAACACAGAACCTTTTAGTTCGCGGTCTACACTGTATTCTGTCTCATTCTCTCGCAGGCTAAATCCTATAGATGTACATATATGTTTGTCTCTTATAAGTGTCTCTTTTTCGTTTCATCGAGTTTCAAATCACAACGATTCTAAAGAAGTTTTAACTTTAAAAACCTAAATAGTTTTGCTTAGAAGAAGTAAATTTTAACTTCATCTGCGATAGAATTATATAACTGTGGTAGCACTATGGCTACGAACTCGTGCTCGTGAATTTCAAATTCCACAGAATAAATAAGAGTACTTAGTACGCAAGCATCCCGACCGGGATTTCCGATTTGGATTCCCGCCGGCACCAATGAAATTGTTAAATGTAATTTTAAGTGCTGATTTACCGCGTGCTCGGCAGTAAAGGAAACATTGTGAGTACATCTGCGGTAACTGCACAATAAACGTGTTAAACATGCAAGTTAGTGCTTAGTAACAAAAAAAGTGCTTTAATACGTCTGCTTTTTTTGTAATCAGACAGCATCTTACGTGGTAGAGCTACGCTGCAGCTATTATGCTGCTGTGTTTCGTATGGTGAGTGTAGCGAACCGGAGACCCGTTTTATTTTGATATAAATAGTGCCCAAAACCATTAAGGGAATTTGGCTTATGGTATTTTTTCCATGAAAGGTTATTGACCTAAACGTAACCGCTGTAATAAACTAAACACAATACCGACCATTTTATGTCCATCCGTGTTCCGTGACCTTATCCGAAATGATTACCTGTTCGTTTGCCTTAGGTTATAATTTTTTTGTGTTACCGTCGTTGCGAATTTAATACTATTACGTGAAAAATGTTGTAAGATTCCTATTTGAAAAATGTTAAACTTTGGGAAAATTGGAAAAACACTATTTTCTGAAAAAATATATTCAAATCCCGATAAAAAATGTAAGAATCAGTATATCTATACAAAAATTAGGCACGTATTATTCTGGAGAAAACTTGAAAGGGTTAACACAAAAAAAAGAAGAAATTTCGAACACATAATATGTACTTACAGGGAGAGGTTTTAATTTCATTTTTTTATATAATAAGGGACTGACTGAGTACTGTACTGACTAACAAGCACTCAGTTCACTCGATGATAACTGAATTCTGTGTCCGTTATACATCTACATCTGGGAATCAAAATGTAGATGCGTTGTCACTCTTGAGGAATAAAATGGGGTGTCTCGTTTCAAATCAAATACAATCTTATACGTAGTAGAGCCATACTGCAGCTTTATTAGTATAGTTGTAGCACTATTAGGTCGGCTCGACCGGGGAAGGACCACGCTCTCACAGAACACCAGCATAAAATAGCAGCTTAACGCTGCTGTGTTCTGTGGAACCCTTTTTACCCATACGGGTGCTAACGCTGCCTGATGGTAAGTGGTTACTTTGGCCAATAGATGTAGCTGTCAATGGGCCACAGTAACCACTTACCATCAGGAGGACTATGTGCTCATTTGTCACCCTTATCCTATAAAAAAGATACAGATAATCCAGGGAACGGTACAGTCAATTGTACGTGGTTTATTGATATGTAATATAATTAAATACCATTTATTTTATCAATCTTTCGTTTTGTCGAACAAAAAATAAGCTCCAAGATTTTCGGATAAAATAAAGCCTGGATCACTCGGTCTCGGTTCAGCCATTTCGTGGATCAGCCCGGACAAATTTTGTAAATGGTTAATTACTAGTTATGTCTTAATTGCATGCAAACAATCATGGCAAATAAAATTACTTTGAATAAAACTATTATTTAAGGATTTTATCGAGTTTAATTACTTTAATTTATTTTTATTATCCCGACGTTTCGGCGGGGGGACTGAGATGTTTGACGTCCCAATGTCATAGTCCGGATCTATGACATTTGAATATAATATTCAAAAACTGAAGGTATCCGGACAAACTACGACATTGGGACGTCAAACATCTCAGTCCCCCTCGTGACCATGGGTGCTGTAAAGCACCCGAAACGTCGGGATAGTAAAAATAAATTAAAGTAATTAAAGGCGAAAAATCCGTAAATAATAGTTTTATTCAATGTGTAGTGTTCGCGTAAATTTAAGAAATCATAAAATAAAATTACTCATAAAAGTACTGTCATTTTGATATTACACACTAGTTGTTCCCGCGACTTCGTCCGCATGGAATTTATTACGAGTGGATTTCATGTTTTTTTTTTTTGCGCGGAAATGTAATTGTTGTCTTTTTAATAAAAGAGGCCTTAGTTACTACTTATAACAACGGCTATCTGCCAGTTCGAAAATTAGCCGGAAAATACGTTCGAGACATTCGACAAACACACAATTTTTAAATTATTTTTTTTTGTTACAAGTACTACGTATACTTATACTTATATTTATACGTGGTAGAGCCACGCTGCAGCTATATTATAGGCACGAATGGGTCGGCTCGACTGAGGAAAGACCACGCTCTCACATAATACCAGCGTAAAATAGCAGCTTAACCGGGGACCCTTTTTACTGGAAACGAGTAATTCCATCTTAGTCCTCAGGGGTAACAACACATCTCCATTTTGATTCTTAATCGAGGATCAATGTAGATGTCTATGGGTCACAGCACCCACTTACCATCAGGTGGACTATGTGCCCGTTATTTTTTGTTGCCCTTATTCTATTAAAACAAAAAAATAGAGCTACGCGACGGGCTAATTGCTATATAATCCTTTTAGAAATGAGGAGGCTTGTGTCCGACAGCGAGAGGTTTAATGGATGTAACTTCACTTTTACCGTTTATTTTTATCAAATAATAATATTCGTGCAATAAGCGTGGCTCTGCCACACATCTAGTGCAAGATGGCGGACTTCACATGAATGTCTCTCAGATATGCAGGCTTCCTCGTAATGTTCTCCCGCACCGCCGACCGCATGGCAGTTCAGCACAGGTTGCTATTCTCGGGAGCTACCAATACGGTTTAGATTGCAGAAAATCAATTTTTTTACCTTTCGACAACGCTACGTAATTACATGTCATTAGTTAAATTTTAAAAACTGCGTCCGTAATCTATAACCCGGTAAACCAAAAACTATATGTACCAGACTAAAAATATTATAAACCCTACATTTAGAGGACGGAAATTACACATTATACTTATGCGTGAATCGACTTTCGCGCGGGAAAGAGCGCGCACGTAAAGATAGACAAGGAGAAAGAGAATGTACGCGCGCTCCGCTTCGCCCGCGCCCGCTCGAGCATTTCGTTTTCGTCATACCTGCCATGAGTAAAGTCTGTGCTTCAAACATAATTGACACGCACGGTTTTGTGAAAACGATTGTCGTCGTAAAATGGCGGACATTAGATTATGGAGCAAGGACCTTATAACAGAGTTCTTGGCAATGTACAAATCTCATGCATGCCTATGGAAAGTTAAATCCGAAGAGTACAAAAATAGAAATTTTAAGGAAAGTTCTTACGAAAAATTAGTCAAGTTTTGCAAGAATAATGGAATGCCTCACGCAAACAGAGATTTTGTTGTAAAAAAAATTCAAAGCTTGAAAGGGTCGTTTCGAAAAGAACTTAATAAAGTGTTGGACAGCCAGCGTAGGGGAAAGGGTGACTTATATAAACCAAATTTGTGGTATTACGATCTTTTACTATTTACCAAAGACCAAGAAACACATACAGATAGTTTTACAAATATAGATGAACAAACTGAAGTATTTACTGAAGAAATTAAAAAGAATTCTACAAATAAGAATAAAGATTCAAGGCAAAACGCTTCCAAAAATGTAAAAGAGCAACAAAACAATCCCACAAATGGGAAAGAACAATGCGTACAGAGCGAGAAAAATGAGATACAAAATATAAACGTGAGTTTTTGTACAAGTAATTTATTTAATATTACTTGATTATTAAACTAGTGTAAATTCTTGCAGTATAGCTAAGCCCGTCCACTTGCTATCGAATTTTACGAATGGGTCGGCGTGACCGGGGAAGGACCACGCTCTCGCAGAATAACAGCGTAAAATAGCAGCTTAACGCTGCAGTGTTTCGTATAGTGAGTGTAGAGAACCTGAGACCCTTCTTACTGGAAAGGAGGTATTCCATCTTAGTTCTCACGGGTGACAACGCATCTGCAATTTGATTCGAAATCGAGGATAGATGTAGATGTCTATGGGGTACAGCAACCACTTTATCGTCAGGTGGACTGTGTGCTCGTTTGTCACCCTTATCCTATAAAAAAATCATACGATCTTTGCACTTTACCTTTCTTTCTGTATTAAATAGTTTTAGAAGTTTTTAGTTAATTGATAAGCAGTTTCTCGCCATTCACCCATTGGACAGTTCCTTAATTACTTTTCTTTCATTAGTTATCTTCTTTATCGACGTTAGCAGTAAAATATGAACTATTTTGAGCGCCCAAAAATTTTGCAAGGTACAGATTGCACGTAAGACGTAACAAATATTTTGGTGTCATATTTATAGCTGTTTTTTATACTCTAAGCCTAGCTGAAATTATACCAAATTCATTGTCAATAACATTTCCAGTCCTTAATCGATAGTAATGTATTTCCTTTTCATAATCTGAAACTCTCTATGCATGCTTTAGAAAAAGTTCTTCAAGTCCAACAGCTTCATTACTTATGAACACAAAATTAAAATTATTTATGGTTTCGTCATTTTCAGGTTAATTCAGCTGCTTAAGTTTAAGCTTATTGAATTCAGTATATTTAAGTACACGTGCATATGATATTCTTCCATTTCTTCCAACATCAACGTAAAGAAACTTGTACTTAGAGCCCACTAAAGCCATTAAGACAATACTATTATGCATAAATGTTTTATAGTTATAGTAGTTGGCTTCGGAATCAGGTGGTGGTGCAATGCGGATTACTTATTAGCTATATTTATCTTTTCAGTCTGATCACACACCAATGAGGAAGAGAAAAGTAGCGAGTAGTTTTCAGGCAGAATTTTTAAAAGTTTGTGCTAATACAATGAAAGCTAATTCCAAAGAATTAACAGAGTGTGATGCTGTTGGAATTAATATAGCCAAAAAAATGGCTAAAATGGATCCTTTACAAGCCATTTATGCAGAATCTATAATAAACAATGTGCTACGCAGAGGATTACTGAAAAAATTGACAGAGAAGACTAATCTGTGCAACCGATGTTGCAGACGTGTTGAGACTCCATCTTCTATTCATACAAATGCATCACGTTTATATAATGATGATGAGCCACACGTATTTCCAAATTCAGAAACAGAACAGGTGGAAGCTAATACTGACTCTTCACGTTCTTTTTGTGAACAGAAAACATTAAACTGAAACATATACAGAGAACTGTATTTTATGATTAAACCTAAATAACATCTTTCAAATACATGTTTCCCTTACTAACTACTTGTTAGAGACTTGGCGCTTAGTTATAGGTACATAGATGATTGTAAACCTTGAGATATTCTGAGTGAAGGCTTGTATATATAGCTCGCCAGGTCTCTAGTATTATTTTAGAAAGTGATGGGAGCTGATTTACTACTACTATTTTTTAAATCTTGAAAATGAACATCCTGTAGCCAGATATCGCATATGCATAGTAGCAGCTAATTGTGCTTCTGCACTTATATTCTGCCCCATAATAGTATCTTGTTTTGTGATCTTATGTTTTATTTTATTTAATTATAAATTAAATACTTCACTGTACATTCACAAATAGTTCGTAAAAAATCGTCGGGATAAGACCAGCGAACGTAATTTCTTGTGTAATTCTTTCGAACGTTTTTATCTATTTCTGTAGTACACAGATTAACACACATAATATACTAGTCTTTTAGAGCGCGCGCTGAATATAACTGCGTGATTTCCATACAGTCCAGGTCGCGACAATTTCCAGTACTGAATCACGCGCGATTAAATTTTACACGACACTCTTTTCTCTCTGAATAAATATGTAGAACTAATAGCGCGTGAAAGACGCAACGGACATAAAAATGAATAAAAACAATCACGATTGCGCGTGTAAGTTTTCCTGCGTTCAATCGCGCACACTCTGATCCCGAGTAAAAGCACGTGTCACTTTCTTCGTTATCAATTATCATAATGTAACTTAAAAATATTTTTACTTATTGTATATTATTAATGTTTTTATTTATAGCAACAATCGAGTGTTTTGTGTGAGTTTTCATTTATCGCTTTTTGGACTTGGGGAAGAAAAGGCTTATTGACAATGTTAAGTCAATCCGAGCGTGTTATGATAATCAAAAAAAAAAAAACAATAAAACGAACGTATAGTTTTTGTCCTTATAGACATTATGGCAATATGTAACAAATATTAAGTCTATATTTTTCAGATTGTTGATACAGCTTATAAAATATAGCATAGTCCGTTCAAGATAGTGTTGGCACAGCCGGCGGAGTACTTATTATTTTGCATTTATTTTATTATTTCTTATTGTGATTGTTAAATAAATGTTTTTCTATTCTAAGAATAAAATACTATTTTATTCTTATGGTTATTGTAATAAAATACGAATATAAATAACAAACACAAGTTAGGTAGCAAAGAAGTTTTCAATATGGTGCTTATTTTTAAAATGCAAAATTTTCCTGACGGTGTAAGCCGCACGCTGCGACCTCTAATGTCGCGGCCACACGAGAAGATAAACGGATTTGACGCCATTCGACATAAAGGCGACCTTATCTAATCGAATAAACTATATTGCTGAGTGCATGCCGTTCAATCATATTACTCATCAGGCATTACTCATCAATGGTCTTTGTATGCTCAATTCCCGTTCTAAAATAGAATAAAAACTAAAGTAGTGTAAACTGAGCATAGCAATAACAATATTTCTTTCTATATAATATTTACTAACATATTTGTAAAGTAAAATTGTTTCTTTAAACAAAACTATATAATATAGTACAATACAATAAATAATATATATTGTTAGTTATATTGTCTCGTGTAGGTGCTTCCAAACATAAAATAAAAAAACGACAGGTTGCACTCCGGGAGTGCCGGCAGAAGTGAAAACTACGACCTGTCATGACCTACGCGGCCCCCATTTTCGCACATGCTAAGCCCAAAGCTATAAATGAACTTCAAATAGTTCAAAATCTATTCTGTCGTAGGGCCACTAACTCGCCCTATTATGTCCGTAATGCCGACCTACATCGAGACTTAGAGCTCCCAACAATCCAGCAGTTCCTTAAATCACTCTCTGAGAGATTTTTCAAAGCCTCAGAGTCCCACCCAAATCATCTCATTCGTGAGACAGCTGCCTATGCAGCCCCTATCCACACTCGCTATAGTGTGCGCAGACCGAGAAACTCTCTCTCGGACCCCCCCCCCTCAACAAGCTTTCGGCTGACCTGAACTGCCTCCTGGCGGCTCAGGCCGAGCCTACACAACACATCCCTTAATCTGCCTTAGTTAGGCACTCTTCTAAGCGGTTTTTCGCCGCTTGCGCCCTCCTTTCTGCCAAGGAGGGTCGCGTTCGTATACGGCTTAGAGATCTCTAGGCAGATCGTTAAGCCAATTCCTAAAAGGTTGGGTTTAGTGGGTAAAAGTCACCACATAACCACGCAGCCGGCTGCGTGGTATGCTATGAGCATTCCCAACCTCCCTCCCCCCGCTTTCCGGAGGGTTGCCCATATTTGCTTCGGGTGCAAAAAAAAAGTGAAAACTTGAATATTAACGTTGTGCATTTTTGATATTTTGGAATGGTTAGAGAATAATTTTGCACGAATTGCTTTAATTATCAGTATAAAAGTACTATCATTTATGTGGTAGAATACAATATTTATTTATTGCGCTATCGTACACAAACATGACAATTTATATTACATTCGCGCCAGCGCCCTGCGCCGCCTAAACAAAACAGCAGGCGCAGGCATATATTTTCGCGGCGCCGTAGAAAGAGAGGGGGATACTTCCTCTCCTACGCCGTCCGTCTTACGCATTTTCGATCAGGTCACGTGTCCTGACGCGAGTTTAACATTTTTTACCCATTACAAAAAAAGTGAACAATGCCGCTAAAGAAGTTTTCACTGAAAAAAAAAAAACACAACACCCCGGCCTGTGCCCCGGCTCTCTTATAGTCTGACAGAAATCCTAACCACAATCAAGAAACCTCACAAACAGGACACGGACCAGCGGACGGCGACAGATGAGCCATTGGTAACAAGACACCGTAATGCGACTTATCCGCATTACGACTACTAGAAAACACATAAATAAAATGTACTGGTCCGTCTGTTAATAAAGTAACTAGACCTAGACAATAACTAGGGTGCTAGACTATAATATAAGACAAACAATGCGTTGAAGATATTTATATGCGGTTTTGTATTAGCGACCGAATATATTTATGAGTATTTTTTTATATAGGAAAATATAGGCAAAAAAGATTTGTCTCAAAAAGGTTAGCTTTTAAACAATTCCTTTTCTGCCTTAGAGTCCGTTGTTTTCGGTACCTTAGGGTTAAATAGCAAATATACCTTTAATGTAAAATATGAGCCATTTTCTAATTATATCTTAGTCCTCAGGAGGTTTATTTCTTTATATATAATAAGGGTGACAAACGAGCACACAGTCCACCTGATGATAAGTGGATGCTGTGGATGTTTAGGCATACATTTAACATTTCAAGGTATTAATATCAGAGCCATATAAACTGTTATTAAAAAGTCACACGTTTTTTTACTAATTTTTCGTTTTTTTTTTTTACAAATACGATAGTTTTGTTAAGGGTACCCTTAACCGACGAGCATGTATGCGTAGGTATATGGATGTGGAAGAGGCGAGAAAGGTATGTCAGGATCGTGCTAAATGGAAGTCTGTAGTCTCTGCCTACCCCTCTGGGTGACAGGCGTGAGAGTTTATGTATGTTATGATAGTTTTGTCTTGTTTATGCTCATTTAACCATGTTAATAATCTGTAGATCAATCCATTTGGCAATAAAAAGAGTGACAGCAAGTTTTAGTATGTTTTCCGAAAAATATAAATCAATCAATTTTATGTTGTTTAATTTCACGCACAATAATTCAATCTGTTACCCTTCAACAGCCTAGTTCTCAGGTGAAAATCCTTACAGCTTGAAGCTAATTGGAGATGTCCATAAGCTGCTTACCATCAGGTAGACTAAGATGTATTAGCACACACGACAAGTGTAGGTATTAAGTTATAGGATAGTCTCATTACGTATGTAGAACCAGCAACATGACCTTTCCCCAATTACATGGCGACCCTTCCAAGAAAATAAGGTAGAAGGCGTCATTAAGAGACATGTCTCCATATATGTCCTTAATGAGACTATCCTAAAACTTCATACAAATGTCATGTGGCCTACTACAGCACAAGACTGTTAGTTTGTTAGTCACTCAACATTCACTTAAAAATAATACTGACCCGAAGAAAATATAAGAAATACAAATAGGTACATATATAAAAATTACACGCAGACGCAACTATAAACAATAACTTCGACGGCTCGTGACGCAAAGCCTTAGCAATGAGTTGCAGCGCTAAGGGCTGTGGGTTCGAATCCCGCACGGAACAAGTATTTGTGTGGCCTACAAATAATTGTACCGGGTCTGGATGTTTGTCCTTGTGCAATGTATGTTTGTAAACTGCCTACACAGAAGAAAATCCTAGTGTGGAGGTAACGTTATTTAAAAATATATATATTTATTTATAAAATTATTGTACATTAAGTAACAAGGGTAAACGAAACCACAATCCACGCTATGGCTCAGAATAAATAATAGTACTACGTAGCCATGGTAAGTGGTTGCTGTGGCCCATGGACATCAACATCTTTGCATAAGAATCAAATTATATATGCGTCAAGGCCATCCCCGAGGGTTAAGATGCAATTCTAGGATATTATATATTCGGATTACATACACGGATACAATATTAGCATTGACTGAGCTTTGCTCGACGTTTAAAATATCATTCTCAGGAATTACACATACACAAACTTGGAAGGTAAAGCTTAATAACAATAATCTTAATACCTTAATAATATATATAATACAATATTTCATACAAATCGCAGTTTCCGATAAATCAATATAGTAGGCGACATTGAATTAATTTTAAACTTCCTTGAACTTCTATGAATCTACTAAAATGTTATTATTGCACAAAAACAAAATCATTGTATAAAAACTGAGTATAGGTATGGAAGAGGTCGTATAAAAAAAATGTGGCTGAATAAAAAAAAACAATAAAGATGACACTAAATTGCTATTTAAACAGAGATTCCGTAATGAAATCAAATGTATGGCTTGTTTTATTAGATCAAAGTGAGCACACATTT